GCAGTTTAGCAGTTGTTTTTTGCAGCACTGGTGAGGTTAGAAGAAATAATAATAATAATATGAGAAAGACTCAGCTAGAGTAAGTGCTTGCAACATGCTATTTGCATTTTTAAGGAAATACTTCTTTGAGACAGCTTGGGTGAAAGGTCGGCATTTGCATATAAATGGAAAAGAAAGTGTGTGATGCTGGAAGTTACATCTATATTATTTTCTCAGCAGTGAGCGGCTGTTTGGGCGATTAACGGACGCGGTTTGCATTTGCCTTTTATTGAATAGGGAAAGTACTGGGAAAGCCAAATGAGAACAAAATAACGAGGAAAATGTGCAAGAAGAAAGCAGCACCCTGTGCTATGCTTCTCTGAGGTGCTCTCTGCATGCTTGATGTGTTACACGCCTGTTTGCACACACGTTGGGCACGAGTGCGTGAGTGTGCCTGTGCAGGGCTCCCTCTGCACAAAAGGAGGAGAGGAAGGTGCTAGAAGGAGCAATCCTGTTGTGGGTGAGCATGGCAGAGGAGGGGATGCCAGCACCCACTGCGAGGAAGGAACAAGTCAAGGAACGTGCCAAGGAGTTTGGGGAAGGTGGGATGCTGAAGAACATTCGGTCTTTTTATTCGCTTTGAGCAACACGTTTAAGGAGCAATGCATGAATAGCAGTGTTAGTGGGGGTGTGCAGCATTTCTTCCTCTTTTGAGGAGTATGCAAGGGATACAAGGATTGAAGGTGAAAAGCACCATCTATGTCTTTGGCAGCACTTTACGTTGTACTTCTGCCTGTTGAGAGAAAAAGAAAGTGGGGGGGAGGGGGGGAGAAAAGATGAACAAAAAGCTTTGTGAACTGACCATGCACACTGGAGCATGAATGTTGCTCTTAATGAGGAGAAACTTAGTCTTGTTTGCTTTCTTTGCACTGTAGATGTGGTTTAGTAGCACAGCATGCTAAGTCAATGCTGAGTGGGATGGCAACCTCAGGTGCTCAGTGAGGGGTTGGGTCTCTGCATAGCATGCAGTGAGGCATTGCCCAGCCCTGTGTGGCTGAGACATGGTGACAAGGGATGGTGAGTGCTGTGCTGTGAGAGTGAGAGGTGTTGGGCCAATGTGGTGATGGAGCTGGGGGATGGAAGCAGCAGGAGTCTGTAAAATGTCCAATGCTCCACACATTCACAAGTAATGAACTCTTTGGGTTTGTCCAGGAGATTTCCCCAGGTGACAGTGCCCAACCTCAACATCTGTTTGGCAATTGCTAAGCTCCCTTCCCAACCTGCTAAGGAAAAGCATCTTGAGGTCAACCAGCAAACGAGATCAGTCTGCAATCTGCCTGGCCCTGCTTCACCTCCCATCCATACGTTCTTCTAATTGATTATTAAATCATATTTGCTGATAAGCGTGAGATGTAGTATCTATTATACAGCTGTTAAACCTCAATTAATATGTTTTAATGATCAGTCATTTACTATGCAGTATACAATTAACACCCGGTACTAAGTCTTAAATTAAAAGCATGTTTAGGAGGCTAAATTTGAAGCACTGAGCATAGCTGTGCTACAGTAACAGTGACAATTGCATTGGGTGGATGGTATTTCTGTGCTGCGGCAGGGCATTCAAGACTTCTTAGAAATATTGGGAAGGGCAATTAAGAACTCAAGGGTTTTCATGAGAAAACCAGGCTGCTTGGTGCTGCTGAGAGCTCCTTGCCTGTATGCTGTGCTGTCGATGTGTGCAATGGCAGCAAAAGCAGGAGCGTGTGTTCTGCTGCCTCCACAGAAGGACGCGGGTGTTATTTCACCCCATGCCATCGCTGTTCCTCACTGCAGCTGCAGAGGAACCTGCAGAGACTTTCAAGTGCCCTGTGATTAAATACAAAACTCCCTTATTTCTTTGTAAACCTGGTGAGAGAGCCAATATTTCTCAGCATCTGGCTGAAACCACGCATTCCCTTCAGCAGCAGCACGTGTAAACTGCAACTTCAGTACAGCTCTGTGTGCAGAGTGCGGTGGGTAGGTGTGATGCACTGCAAACAGTGCAGGGTGCTGGGGACGGTAGAGGCACCCACTGGTGACTTTCACAGCTCAGAGATGATGAAAAATTTGGATTTGAGGCTTGGTTTTTGATTTTTGTTTTTTTTTTTTTTTTTTTAATTTATATTTTCAGTTCATGTGAAAGAGGGGGTTCAAAAGGGGCTGCTGCTGTGTTGGCCCTGAGCTGTGAGCCCACATCAGCTGGCAGGGTGCTGAGCACCCCAATGAAAGATGCAGTGTGCTGCTGCCTTGTCAACTTAGGGTTCACTTCTCTCATGAAAAATGTGCTTGAGTGAAGATAAAGAAAAAAATCCTACTTTCTTCATTTCTCTTTTCTTGCACTTGGGGGAGCAAATGAAGACTGATATGTTTTTCTTCTGGCCTTTCAGTTTAAATATGCAGCGATGCAGATACGAGGCAGTGAAGCCCTTTCCCCATCTGTTCCCCAGTACCCAGTCTCTCATCCCATTGCTCTGCTGCAGCAGCCGTGTCCTTGGCACAGCCCTGGGGGCAGGTGTGCTGCCCACAATGCTGGGGATGGGGCCACCCTGCAGCCTCCTCCCACACCTCATCTTCTGTTCCTCTTCTGCACTCCAGAGTTTCATATGAGTTTATTTTTGAGGGGCCTTTCTGCTGTTCTTCGTGGGGCTTTGTTGTTTTTGTGGCACATCAACACTTGCTCTCCTTGGGAAGTTAAATACACTCAACTCTGATCAATGCTGAACTGCACGTGTTCTCCCTTCAAAGTATCCAACTCTCATTTGGAGTTGATGGCCCTGACCCAAAGGTTTTGCAGATTTTGCCCAAGTCATGATGCTTTGGTTCACAACTGACCTTCCCCCGCGGCTGTCTCTGAAGGAGAGGAGGGGATGAACAGGCTCGAGGATTGAGAAAGAACCTGTTTCAGAAGAGGACGTGGTGATGCCTTGGGCTGGACTGTTGTAAACATTTGTGGGAAAATGACCTTTTTAATGAGGGAACCAGTAAGACAGCCAGTCCTGGACAGAGGATGGAGAGAGCAGGGGAAGGCTGGGTGTGAACATCAGGCAGGGATCTGTCAGACAGCAGAGCACCTAGGGCTGTTTCTCAAGGGGAACTGGATGCAAGTGCTCCTTGCTGGGAACGTTGGCTGTCCCAACTCCCAGGAGGGGACTGCAGAATGTGTGGATCCCTCGGGGAACTGCTTGCCACGGGCAAAATAGAGTTCTGAAGGTGATGTCCTGTATCTCCCTCTGGGTGGTCCAGGCAGGGGTTAACAGAAGCATCCTTCGTGTAAGTGAGCTGTGTTTCTGCTGAATCCACGTCCGGAGGCGAGGGGAAAGGGCACAGTGCGTGCAAGCTGATCCCCTCTGGAGACCAGATGCATGTAAGCAGCACAGAGCAGGGGAAATCTGATTCATGTGTGATGGAGCTGCCGCAGCCACCTGAGCCGGGCTGGGATGAGGAACAGGAGTGAGGCTGGAGATGCTGAGCAGGCTAGGAGCCAGCGTGCCATCAGTCTGGCTCATTCTTAGCCTACAACTTATGGAAATGTCTCCCTTCAGATAAGCAGACAGGCTGTAATGTTCCATGTATGTGTTATAGAAACCTTTCTTTTTCTTACTGAAATATACTTTTTTTTTTTTTTCCTCCTCCTCTGTTCTCCTTCCCTCTGTCCTTTCCTTGCTTCTTTCCCATGACTTCCTTCATTTGTCATCTTCTGCCTGGCCATCTGTGCCTCCCTGCTTCCTTTCCTCAGAGCTTCTCCAAAGCAGAACAATTTTTTCAGCAGCTCTTGCGTTTTGCTTCCAAGCCCTGTGCCCTCTGTGGAGGCCCAGTGCTTCAGACAGGGTTTGGAGCAGGGTTTCCAACACCGGTGTTTCTCCCATGAAACCTAGAAAAGTCCTCTCAACTTCTCTTCTGGCTTCAGAAGGGTTTTACAATTAATGCAGAAAGGTGACTTTTACTGTCATCTCTCTCGGGCGCTACCTTGGGCTGGATGTCACTGTGGGATTGAGTTATCCCAGTCCTCCAGCACGTTCATCCTAAAAAGCACTGTGGGATATGGTGGTTCCTCAGTGTCCTGTAGATAAAAACAGACCCACATGGGGTTGGGTGTTTTCCTCAGTGTTTGTTGCGTGTTCTCCTACAAACTTCTTGGTGGAAGGGCAGCTCTGAAGATGTGGATGCCCCATCCCTGGATGTGCTCAAGGGCAGGTTGGAAGGGATCCTGTGCAGCCTGATTTTGTGGTTAGCAACCCTGTCTGTGGCAGAGCGTTGGAGCTGGATGATCTTTAAGGTCCCTTCCAACCCAAACCATTCTGTGACTCTGTGAAGCTGCTCAGGGGGTGTCTTACACACACAGTAACTTATCCGTGATACTGATCCTTTGCTGGAAACTTTTTTCAGATTTCATTCACTGCATGTTGGTCTTCTTCCTGCTTTTGCTTTGGGATCACCCAAATAATAGAAACACTGAGGAAGCACGGGAGCCTGTTAAGGCAGCAGACACAGAGCCCTAAGCTGCCCTGGACTCTTCTGCAGTCTGCAATGTGTGACTACTGCTGGGGGTGCACTCTTCTCCTTTACTTTGCTGGCAGAAGATGAATGGAGCGGGGTTTGGAGAGCAGGCAGCACATTATTCACTGCTCAATGCTATGGGGAGCTGCAATTACAGATTGAAGGGAAAGGCTGGGGGTGGTGGCACCCAAAGTGACCCTTGTTTCCCCAGGTGAGCTGTGATGTTGGGGACTCACAGTCCTGGGGCAAATGCTTTCCATCTTGTTACTGCAAGTAGGAGGGGAAGCCTCGCATTTGTGGGCCATCTGTGTGCTGCAGGACTGGCACCTACCCTTTGGATGTGTTTGAGGAAGGGAAGGTGCCAAGAGACTGCTTGTAAAGTATGTGCTTCCCTTTGTGTTTCCCTGCTGTGCCTCGGGGAGCTGTAACTTGGGTACCCCCATTTTTGCATCTTCCTGACCCCATATTCTTCTTCCTCTCCCCAGAAAATGAGTTTCGGGGTGAGCTGCTGAACCAGAGGTGGACCTGTGGGGAGAAGATCAGCAGCTGCGAGGGAGCCGCCAGCCTGCACGGCACGTGCATCAAGGTGAGCCCCAAGCCCCATGCGCATCCTTTTTTGGGACAGTGGCAGCAGGATGAGGGCCAAATGCTGCTCCAACCCTCCTGGACCAGCTGGGCTGGGGGAAGAATGCAGCTTCACTCCCAGGAAGGGAAGGATCTGGAAGTCCTTGTTTGAGTTGAATCTCCTGCACAGGGTGTGCAGACAGAGAGGCTTCCAGCTGTCAAGATTTGGCGTCGAGGACAGATATTTGCATTTTCCCTTCCTCCCTGGTCTCATCCTTCAAGGACAGCTCAGAGCAGGATATTGAGGTTGGTCTCAGGGCTACAAAAATGAGCTCTTTCTGCAGTTTGGTTGGAAGAAGCCTCGTGCAGGCCAGGTGAAGCCACAGGGACAAGTGGGGCATTCATCCCACCGCCCACTGCCAGCTGCAGCTGTGGCTGATGAAAGAGGTCCAGGCAGCACTGTCAAACCTAGCACAGAACTGCTGCCAGCAGATGAGGAAGCTTTAATTAAGCACAGAACGGGGCTGCTCATTACGCAAATGGTGCTTCCTGCCCCATTTAGTTCCTGGGTAGCAAGGCACAGCATTCAGGACAGACAGACCCATGTGGGTGGTGGAGGATGCCCTCCTTGGGCGACTGATGTTTGGGGGTGTAGGAAGAAGAGGGGTAAAAAACCAAGCCATGGGGAAAACCCCAAATCAGCAGAAAGTGCACACATCCTTTATGGCTAACAAGCTGTCAGCTGCATGCAGGTGTCGCCAGGAACGCTTGCACCTTCTTAGAAAGCAGCGTAAGCAGTTGTTGCTATATTTAAAACCGCCTCAATTAAGGCTTTTCTACTGAACCTGCCAAATAAGCACTTAGATGGGATTTAATAAGATTGTTGTATGTTAATAAAGTGATGATTACAAAAGGTAATGTGCCCAGTACCTGGTGCTCATCTAGCGCACTGCCTTTGCCAAGCACGTTGCTAATGTTAACCATTTCTTGCAGCCCTGTGCTCTGCTCAGCTGTACTTCAACACGGTGTAAATGGGAGTGGGCATCAGAAACGGGAGCAGCATCTGGGAATGCTGGGGACCAGGCGCCTGCAGGTGTTGGTCTTGGCACAAGTTGGGTTTTGTAGGACCACCAGATAAATAGATATTTATTTGTAGCTCTCCATGCCAGCTATGGCTCATAACCTACAGGATGCGCAGGACAAGGACAGCGGGATACAGGGTGCATTTACTTATTTCTGCTTCTCAAGAATTCCGGGCACAGGATAGCATTCCTCTTGCCAGGTTTGAAATAGGATCTCTAAGGGTGTCAGGGAGGGGTGCTCCATGCACGTACCCAACTGCACCTGGCATGCTTGCACTCATCCTGGCCCCATGGCTGGCAGGGAAATAAATCCTTTCCTCTCAAATCCAGTTTTCTTGAACCCTGGCGAGCTCCCTGGTGCAGTTAAGGCTGGTGGTGCTAGGACAGGGGCTGCCAGTGTCCTCTTTGGAGATGTGCTCACCATCTCGCTTTAGCAACTGCCTCTTGGGGATAATTTCATGAAAATGGCAACTTATCCCGATGTCTGGAAACAATGGGATTGAAGACTTGTGTTTTTTTTTTTTTTTTTTTTTTTCTTTTTCCTCCCCTATCCCTCCTCTTTTGGCATAAGAGCAGTTTGCACGTACTGAGCCACTTAGGTCCCTCTGCACGTGAAATGGCGTTTGGATTGCCTGTCGTAGCACTTTCAAACAGTCAAGAGGAAAGTGTATGTCGACTTAAACTGCTGCATATGAAATCAGCCTGAATGCCAGCGCTGTGCAGCTGGGGCTGTGTCAAATGTGATGCTCGGAAGCATCTCTTCTGCTCCGCTTCACTCGTGCAAAGGATGCTGCTGCTACAGCGGCGGAGCATTAGCACTCTGTAAACGTTTAATTTGCAGAGTTCTTTTGGTGTTGTGTCTTTTTTGTATGTGTATGGGATCAGACCCTTTTTGCAACTGAAAAATGATAGCACAACTTCAGGAGGATGTTTGCAATGCGGCTGCATTTTTGAGGGAGGTGGAAGCTGTGTTTTCTCTTTCACTTGAAGATGTCAAGGCAACATCCTCTCCTGGCTGAGAGCAACGAGCAGGGCATCCTTTCTCAGGCAGACAGCATTTTGTTCAGCTGAGAATGAGGATTACGGTAGGTGGGATGAAAGGAGGATTTAAATCAAGCAGCAGAGGGAAAAACTCTGCCTCAGAGTTATAAAATAGCAGCTAGGAGCTCCTGGGATGGTGTGGAAGCTTTCAGCAACATTCAGCTCCCTGTGAAAGCAGAGGGAGGCTTTTGAGACAGCAGTGTTCCTTCTTCTGTCCCTTTTTATTTTTATTTTTTTAAGATTAGAAGCTGGAGAAAGTGCAGCAGGATGGTCTCTGCATTTCCTGCAGTGAGTGCTGACGCTGTGGCCCTTTATAGGGAGTGAGGGGGCATTTGGTCACCCAGGTCCAAGTGTCTCCATCCATGTGCAGCTTCCAGTAGCCCTTTCTGAAAACTTAAAAGGCAAAGGGAAAACAAATCAGGACAAGCCGCTCAAATCCATCTTTACTGTTGGGTGGATGCTGAGGGGTAGTTTTGGTGCCCCAGATTTCCCCCATAGTCCTCTGTGCAGTCATCCAGCCAGACCTTGGTGTCACATCCTTTACTCTTGGGGTTTGTTCAGGCTCGTGATCCTTGGCAGGGAAGAGAGTTCAAACCAGCAAACTGATCTTCCCTGTTGAGAGCCAGAAGGAGCTTGACTGCTGGAACAAGGCTGGACATGGTGGAAGTTTCCTATGAACCGTTCTTCTCCCTTCCCTTAGCTCACCCTGGCTTTGAACCCAGCTGTAAAATAGGGCTGTGAGAGCTGGACTGTTCTCCTGCAGAAAAATGTCAGTACTGCCTGTTCCCTTGAACTAGAGAAGGGGCTCTTTGGAGCTGGAAGAGAGGGAAGACCAAGTAGAATACCACTTTTTGACCTTCATGCAGGAGAAACATCGTATCTTCTGTCATTTTCTTCCTCCTGCTCTACCTGCTGCTGAGAAAATCTAGCTCTGGTGGTTTTTCTTAAAACTTAAAATAGAAGCTCCCTCCGTCTGTCCCTCAGACACAGCTTCTTGCAAATGGCATTTTGCGATATCCGCAAACAAGCACCGATGCTGCTTTCAGAGCAAAATAAATATTCCTGCTGAATCCTCACCTCCCTTTGTCCGGCTGAGGGCTTTTTCAGCGTGTTTATTTTCTCTGAGCTCCGTGCTGCTCTTGAATACATATAAAGTATTACTGCTGACCTTGGGGAATTTCAGCATGGCCCTTAATGGGGTATTTGCATAGAGCTGCCAGAGCGCAGTGCACCTGGGTGGCCGAGCTCAGGAGGCTCCAGAGGTTTTATGCTACTGCTGTGGTCTTCCTTCTGAAAATAAATGTGTATTAAGATAAGGGAAGATGAAAATATCAACTCTGTAGATAGTCTGTAAAAAAAAAAAAATTATATGTCAGCTCTGTTGTGCTGCTCCCGCACTGTATTGCTGTGATCCTGGGAGCAGAGCAGGACTGCAACTGTGTGAGGAGGATCTTAAAATTCACACAGCGCTTGGGTTAAACTGGCTTTTGAGTTTCTCTCTCTGAGCCCTATTGATAGGCGGCATCAGGATGCCATCAGTGTTGCCTGTGTTATGCCAAGGAGGATCCTCTGTGCAGGGCACAGTGAGAAACAGTTCCTGCACCAAAGGACCTTTGGAGAGAATAGGGCAGGAGGAAAGGCACCAGGGATGGAGGGGTGCCCTCAGTGGCGTGGCTGAGCCACAGTATGGGCATCCCGATCCCATGTAGGATCTGTTGTCTGCTTGGTCCAAAGGAAGAGGGGTGGGAGACCTGCTGGAGGCTTCTAAAGCGAGAAGGAGCTGTACAGACCTGCCTCGTCCTAGCTGAACTCATGTACTCAGAGGCCAGCATCTGGTAGCAATCATTTCTTTCCAGATTTCCTTTCTAATTGCTTGTTTCCCATTAAGAGATAAAAATAATGAAATCCAGAGAGTTTCTCGACCCGGCTGTTAGGCGAGCAAGAGGGAGAACAAATGTGGCTGCCCCAGTGGACTCCAAGTCTGCAAACACGCTGTGTGAGCTGAAGTTTCACCCTGCAGTGCTCTGTCCACATGGCTTCTCAATGAGAACGCCACAGGACAGTGGCTTCCTGCAACCTCCTGCACCTGATCCTGAGAACCTGAGCTTCAATGCTCTCCCTTTGGTCCCTTCCTCTGGGCTGTTTTCATGATGTGTGAACCGGCTCGGTTGCCCTCAGCCTGCCCTGTACTGACTCTAAATAATTTATCATCGGGAAACCCATATTGCCAAGGCACCAGCTGAAGGCATGCCAATCCCTGGGAATGCTGTCAAAAAAGGAAATACAACCACCAAAAAAACCATTTCTCTCTGAAATTCATTTTGGGATAGCACGAGCTCTCAGCAGTCACGTGTAGCATTGTCTGTGCGTGGCATTAGCGAGATGCTGAGTATTGGGCGGCTCTGAAAGGCTCATAAATGTAATGAAGTCCCTTTGACACCTGCTCCTCTCTTCACTTTAAGCATGAGCTTCTGGTCTTTAGGGAGTTGGGGCTTTAAAAATAGAAATTATGGTAATTGGCTGCTGTGTTATTGGGAAGATTGTAATAAACGTGGAGCATTACACCGTGGTGCCAGGAGCTGAATGCTGACAGGATGCATAAATTGCTTCAGGTTTTGATTTATTTATTTTTTCTTTTTTTAGGATTTTTTTTTTTCTCTCTCTCCAGTCTTCCTATCCTGTAAATCACATAAATTGCTGTGTTGGTGCATGTTGCTGGAGGGCTACGGCAGAGGGGTTCTTACAACAAGGGGCTTCCAGCCATGCTGCCCCATTGGCTGGGACTTCTGTCACCTCCCCCTGCTTGCCCAGCCACCAGCTAGGAAGAGTTTTGAGGTGCATGTGGGAGAGGGGCAGCACATGCTCTCCACATGTGTCCTTTCCTTTCATGTCTCTCCTTCACGTGAGTTTGCTTTCAAACTATCTCATTTGGAGCTGGCATAGGAGCTGGCTGGATCCAGCTTGAACTTGTAGAGGATGCTCCAAAGGACACGTGCTGAAGAGCATTTGTTATTGTTAGGTCAAATCCCCTGTGGAAGCAGTCCTCTTCCCTCTTTCTTTCTTTCCCAGGAGAAAATGTCCCAGAGAGTCATGTTCTGCATTAAAGCCAAAATCACCTCCTTCCCAACCTGTTAGGTTTCTGTTCACTGCCCTTCATACTGCCATTCTGCCTACCCTGTTGACTCAGATGTTGTGAATGTGAGACCTTCATAGTAGAACATAGAATCATAGAATGGCTGGGTTGGAAGGGACTTTAAAGATCACCCAGTTCCAAACTCCCAGCAGTGGGCTGGTTGCTACCTAGCAGATAAGGCTGCTTAGGGCCCTATCCCTGCTGGATGGCTGCACAATGAGATCTGTGCAACCTTCATCCAAGCAGCCACAATCCCCCTGGGCAGGATAGGAGTGATGCATTAAATCAGCTCCCTAATCCCTTTGGCAACTTCGCAAGCAGAAACTCCCATTTCTGCTATCCTGGCCGCATTGTGTCCCCTTGCCTGGACACCTTCTGCCTTTGCTACCAGTTCTGGTTATGACTAATTTCAGCTCTCCCACCCACACCATGGGATGGGGGACTGTGCTGCAGCCCAGCGCTGGCTGCATTTCAGCCTTCCTCGTGGCACGCTGTGATGTTTAATTAATAGGAAGTGCTTTGAAGTCCGCAATGTTACTTATTCATGCCCGTGTTCCCTGCAGACCCTCCTGTTTGATGTCCACGTTATGCAGAGGTTATTTCGATGCACCCTCTGTGCCATATCTGAGCACAGAGGAGAGGTTGCTCTTTAGTGCATTACATGAAGGGTCACCCTACCCGGGCACGGGATCAGCTCCACCAAAAATACAGAGCATTCTGAATGCTGAAATTTGCTGGCTGCTCACAGAGGTTTTGGGTCACTTGTTTTGGTGTGAATCCTGAGAAATCTGTTCTGATCTTAGCAAGAGGCTCTTGGACCCCATGGCTGTCTTTGATGGGGCTGTTCCAACTGTGTGCTCTCTACCAGCAGAGAGTCCTTCCTGTGTCCTAGGATGTGGAAATTAGCATCAAGTTGCTAATATTGGGAGTTCAATCCGTTCCTTCCACCTTTAAAATGAATAACTTTGGCTTCAACACTACAAGCAACGCAAGAAAGGGCTGTTTCAGCTATTTACACAGAGCTACAACTACACGGGATAATTGCTTCTGGCGATAATTTTCATGTTATCTTTACACGATTACCTTCTATTTCCATTCCAGATGAGTTTAGAAAACGATGATAAGAGAGCACGCACGCGATCGAAGTCCGTCAGAGGTGAGCAGCTGGCTATCCCCAAGCTCCCTGCACTTTGCTTGTCCACAAAGGGCTTTGCTTTGCCAGGTCCATGCTGGGTGGGGTCTCTTTAAATTACCACCTATGCCTCCTCTCTGCCTCTGATGAGCTTTGTCTATGAGCCTTGAAAAACTCTCAGCCACAAACGTTGTATGGCTCCTCGTAATATTTAACCCTCCTTCCCTTTTTCCATCATCTCCTGCACCTAAGGGGGGGAAAAAAAAAAAAAAGAGCCAAAGAAAAACAAAGGCAAAAAGCAAAAACCCCTTTGCATGCGTTGCTTTATGGGATGGCAATTGCTGTAGCTTCAGATCAGCTCCCAGGGCTTTCATCATGCACACTCTGCCAGCAGCTTTGAAGTTGCACATCTGAGCGTGCCTGGCAGAAGTAGTGCATGCTGCAGAAGCAAACAGGGCTGTCTGCCGGCAGGGACGTGAGGACAGAGAACTTGTTAATGCAAAGCTTGATTGCTTGTTATTTTCCAGCGTTAAAATATGTGCAGCTCTCTCATCCTGTGCTTTCTCTCGGGGAGGAGGTGAGGTGCTGTGATGCAGAGCGTGGCGCATTGCCTGGGTGGCCCCACGGCCTCACAGCACCCTTGCAGCTTTTATTTCTTTTTATGGCTGCTCAGCACCCTTGCAGCTTTTATTCCTTTTTATGGATGTGGATTTGATTAATTGCAAAGGTGGTCAGATGGGAAGGATGAATGGGGCTGGCCTATATGGACGGGGAGGCTGCAGCTTCACCCCTGTGGCTGTGCCAGACCATCCCACTTTATCTTGGTCCATATTTCTCCCTGCATCCTTCAGCATCTTTTAAAAGTTAAAGCAAAACCCTCTTGTGCTGAATCAGGCTGGATTATGTGGGTCTCATTGTTTTGTTGCACCTCCATGAAAGCTCTCGCTCAGTTTGCTAATGAGAGTGGCCTGATTCTATTTATTTTCTCACAACCTGCTATCACCACGCTCCAATCTGGGTTTCTAGATGTGAAAAGGTAATTTACTGTATGCACCGTGGGACTTGCCCATGCCTCCAGTTTGTTGAAGCTCGTGAGTCATCCCACTGGGAGCTGGATCCCAGGAAACCCAATTAGCTCAAACAAATTGAGCAAGTGTGTGATAGTTTTTTTAGCCTGGGCAAATTTAGCTCATGTTGTGTTGTTTTTTTTTTCCTCCTGATTGTTTGGATTCTTGGCTGGATGGGAGGTTTACAGCAACAATGTGATGTTGTATGTTGTTGCTGTAAGCAGTGGGATGTCTTCCTACTGACAACGAGGGATAATCCCCAACACCCCTACCAGATATTGTCTGCCCTAAAAGCCATGTCTGTGTGATAAGGGAGAAAAACGTGCCTGATGATGTGACAGAAGTAAAAGTGGTCACCGCAGCAAATTAGCAGTGCAAAAAGTAATTAAGGAGCATATTCTATAGGCAAACAAGCTGTGAGAAAACAGTCCTTGCTTGCAGGTACTTGAGTCCTGTGCATGTAAACCAGTATAGCACAACTGACTTAAAGTTGTCATTTAAAGAGAGAGGTAACCCCTGAAGCTGCAAACACATGTTCATGTGCTCAAAAGCAGTCATGAGCATTTCCAAGGCAAGTTCATGATTTCCAGCAGGCTGGCATGCAAGAAACGATGGCAGAGATTTGTCCTTTCTTTCCCAAATGGGAGGCCTACAGAGGCAGTAGATCTAGGAGAGCATCACCTGCCAAGGGAGGTGCCCTGCAGGAACTCAGGTACCATGAGGGTTTCTGACTGTGTCTTTGTTTCCCTTGCTGTCTCCTACTCTACACCCAGTGCCCACGGAGCTCATCAGCCAGGAGGTGAGGTAAGAACCCTGCTCCTCCTCCTCGGTGCTGGTGGGAGGGATGCAGAACCCTATGCTGGGCTTCCACTGCTGCTGACCAGGCTGGGACCTGGTGTGGGGAGCCAACCTGTGGGGCTGATGGGTGGAGGTCTCACTGCATGGCTCATACGGGTGGGCACGTTGCTGCAGCCCAAGTCTTTGAGGCATCACTTGGTCCACATGTGCTGGAGGAACCACAGGGGCTGAAGGGGTGAAAAGGGTTGTTAGAGTTAGGGTAGGTTAGGTTGTGGTTGGACTCCATGATCTTTAAGGTCTTTTCCAACCTGAGTGATTCTATGATTCTAAACACAAGCTCTGGGTGTGTTGCATTAGACTGAGGAACCTCCATCTACCCCAGCAAGGCCTGATGTCCACGCTGAATGTTACAGGATCACTAGGGACAGAGCAGAATCTTTTAGTGTATTTTGTCCCCAGACAACTCTATGCACCATCACTTCTCAGGCCAGATGCTCGTCCTTTGGCCCCGTGTGCCTTTTTGAGCCACTGAGGTCCCATTGTCACTCATTTAGCAGCGCTGTGTGCATACAGCACCAGCCAAAAGAGCTGGAGCCTTTGTGGCCCTACAGAGCTTCTCATTATAAATAACAACCTCCCCCGCCCCTCTGCTGCCTTTAAACCTTGCATAGGGGCTATGTGAGAGGTAGGAGTCTTTAACCTGAGCAGGCACTAATAGCAGGGGCTGCCTTGCCTAGCAGCTCCGTCAGAAAGCCGTGCAAGTCAAAGAGTAATTGGACCTTAACCAACCCAATTTCAGAGCATTTCTGCTCTTCCACTCCCCGATGGCTCTGGAGAGCTGCGGAGTGAGCGGCGGGCACACCACTTCTCCAACTTTTATTGCTGAACACTTGAGTGGAGGTGGTAATTGGAGCAGGTGACATATATAAGGGGCAGGACAGAGTGCTCCACAAAGCCATCTCTGCAGCTGTCACCTAATTGCCTGATTAACTGGACGATTAATCGACTAATTGGAAGCAGGGCATGGTCTGCATAACAATAAGCGGCCCCTTTGTCAAACACATGAAGGCTTCAGGAGGGGGAGAGCAGGTCGGGCAGTGGCTGCGGCAGGGAAGGAGAGTGGCTTCAATAGACACCAAAACCCCTTTCTGGTTTTGGGATTCCTGCCAAGCTGCACGAAACCCCACAGGGGACAGAGGTGTGGGGATGGGGAAGCTCTGGCCCAGAGCATCACCTCTGTAATGCAGCTTTTTAAGGGATTAAATGAACACACTGGAGACATCCCAAATTGCCACCTGCTACGGAAAGCCCCGCTCTGAGCCGCCCGACTTGTTCTTTTTTATTATTTACTACAGGCTTCATTTCACCACATTAAAAATGAGGTGGGGGAAATCAGCTTTAATTGATTCAGGAAAGCTTCTAAGAGCCTGTAACATCTTCATCAGAGCCGTCCTTGTTTCCTGCTGAATGAAGCCTTTTTCGGGCACATCGCTGGTGCCATAAACACTGCTCTGTCCTCTGCCTGCGCTCACTTCAACGTGTGTCTGGGGCACAGAGCAGCCTCAGTTGGGCCTGAGGGTAATTAAAAAGAAATAGACTTGGAGATCATCAGCAGAAAGGGAAGCTGCCAGTTGTGCGTGTCCCGGTTTTGGGGTGAATTATCTTCAAATGCGACTATTTGGGCTGTTCATGGTGTTGTGTAGGGCCAACCCATTAACAACCCAACCTGCTGGTGCATGGAACACTACTGCTTCATCAGTGAGCTCCCATCCACCTGATCCCAAGCTTTTTGTAAGGGCTGGGCTTTGCTGAGAGCAGAGATTCTGCATCCCCGAAGCCTGACCTCACTCTATTCAGTGTCACCCCATGTCTTTTACTCCTAGCCTAACAGGCTGGCTGGATCCCTCTGGGCTGGCAGTGCCTTCTCCCCTTGTGCTGTCACAAGAGATTTCATTAGTGCTTCCAGCTTCCTGAGCCAAGGGTGATACGGTGCTAAATGAGGTTATTAATCCTACATGTCTCCAGAATCCCTCAGACATCAGGCAAGTCACTTGGGCATCCTATAATCAATGCCGTAATCTGGTTTTGCCAGAAAATATTTGCTTTAATGCTTCTTATCTGAGGCCCTTCTTGCTTCTGGAGCTGGGATTAATTACCTCTGCAGGGCAAGCATGTGGCCCCGTGCCGAGGGATGCTAGCCCAGAGAGCCAGGGAAGAGCCAGAGTCTTTAACAAGTCCTATTCTGCTGAGCAGCAGGAACAAGTGCAGTGATTTGGGAGATCTGGGCACCTCCATTCCATCCGTTCCCCTAGAAGTGAGGCTGTGGGTGCTCTGGGGCAATGCCTCCTGGTGGCAGTATGGCTAAAAGCTGAGCATCCTCCACCTATTCCAGCCTGTACTTCTTGACAGGACCCCGATGTCTTTGTGCCAGGACCCCCGTTCTCCACCAAGTGAGAGCATCACATTTGGTGTAAAAGGCTGCGGGTGCAGGTGGGGAAGCAGAGAGCAGTAGTTGTCTGCTTTTTAAAGGCTTGCTCTTACACATGCAAATCCTTAATTAAACATACTCATAAAACTATAATGAACCATTCACCTAATTAAATGGGGTGAGTCATTTCATTAATTTTTAGCAAACTGCAAAGCTGCTCTCCTGCCCTCTTCGCTTGGATTTCAAAGGGACAAGTTGCAGCATTTGAGGGAAATTATCTCCCCTTTTGTGGCTATTTTGTTTCTCGTGCACAGAACCTGTTTAACTGACCGTAGTTAATACACTTCTGATCGAAAGTGAATTCTCCCAGCCCTACTGCTGTTCTTGATGGTTTCTTGCTTCCTTCTCAAGCTGTCCAACCCCAGGCTGTAACGGCTCAGGACACATCCGTGGAAAGTATGCGAGACACAGAAGGTAAGGCTGGGTCGGAGGAAATGGGGGTGGAAAAATGCCAGCAAGCAACCCAAAGACACATGTATCCTGGTCTGGATGGTGCTTGGTGTTGCTTCATCAGTCCGGATGGGTGTTGGGGCATCTCCTTCACCAGGCTACCAGCAGCCTTCATGCAGACCCCAAACCAAGGCAGCAGCACCTGGCTCAGGGGCTGGTTCTGTGTCCTCTGCCGGGTTTTGTGGTGACACTGGTGGCTGTTACCAGCAGTGGTGCTGTGCTGTTGGTCCTCCTGCTCTCTGGACAACAGCTGTCCACAGGCCAGGCTGGTGGCATGAGTCTGGCAAGTTTGCACTGCCTTCTGCAAAGCCAGTATCAGGTGTTGCACGAAGTCAATGTTTGATAGCAGATTTTCTGGCTACGAAAGATTAAAAATACTAAAAATATATATATTTTTTAATATCCCAGTATTTACCCTGCTTGCCTTTGTCTACCTGGTTGAGATGCCCTAGACATGCCTTTCTTACTGGGGCAATGCCCCCTCTCTGCTTCTTAATCCCACCGGCAGTCTGCAAAGCTGCCCTCTAGCAAAGAAGAGGAAACTTCAAGATGCGGAGGCCGAACACCTGGTGTCGAAGCGCAAATCCCACCCGCTGAAGCTGGCCTTGGATGAAGGCTACAACGTCGACAGTGACGGCAGCGAGGAGGCCGAGGTGAAGGAGGAGTCTGGCTCTGAGGAGTCAGAGGGAACGCTGGAGGAGGATGAGGCGGAGGCGGTGGAGCAGGAGGAGACCCACAGCCCCGAGCGGGCAGAAGGTGCTTTGTCATTATTGATTGCAGAGCTGTGTTCTGTAGATGAATAAAGGGCAGCGAGTGTTAATAACCAAGAGTTATAGCTTCTCTGAATCATGTACGGTGATGGGTCCCGCAGTTATTGTGTTTGGTGGAAGCACAGCAGCAGAGCTCTGGTTAAGCTGTGAGGGCTTATGCACAGATTGTCTTGGAGTCTTCGAAGTGAGAGCTCTTCCATCAGGAATGCTCCCTGGGGAATGACTCCTGGAAAGCACAAAAGAGCTCTCTGCATGATGAGGATGGCAGCCTGCAGTCCTCCTTTGGTGCCAGTGGGCTCCCTGGAGCAGGAGCTGTACATCCATCCGCTCTCCAGAGGCAGGAGCAACAAGCAAACAAGCCAGACGTCTGCCAGGGTCGCGGCATGGCATCACCGCGCAATGCAGATCCCCTGTTTGGGGAGCACTGAGAATGCGGGGCAGGCAGCTGATGATGGTTGGGTTCTGGGAAACAGCTCATATCTGAGCACCACAAAAGCTCTCATGAGGAAATCTGCTTTTTATCTGCCATTCCCCAATTCAATAAATTAGAATGCACCAGGTGTATAACAGCAAGGCTCTAGTTTCAATTAAGCTTAAAAAAAGACGAAGAGATGTTTATAAGTGTATATCATTACTTCCCTTTTTTTTTTTTCCTTTTGCTTTTCTTCCTTTCCTTCTTTTCTTCCCTCCCTTTTTCCCCCCCTTCTTTTTTCCTTCTGTCTTCTTCCTTCAACCTTCTCAGAGAGAAGCCCAGCAAAATCAGCCCATTACGGACAGAAACCAGCAACAAGTACGTCTGGGCCCAGCAAGGCCAACTATAGCAACTACCAAGAAATAATCGCCAACTCTCTCCTAAACCTAGGCCAAATAGCAGAGGAAACCCTCGCCATTGAAGGGCAGCTGCCTGAAGCTGAGCTGCAGGTGTCCAAGCCGCCATCCAATGTTGTGCACCTGGTCCATGAAGATGCAGGAGAGGAGATCGTGGAGGAGGAGTGTGACAAGGAGATTATCATCCAGACTGAGGATGCAGAGGAAGTCATCGAGGTCACTAGTGAACGCAGCAGCGAGTTGTGTCCAGAGCACCAGGATGACGTGAGCTGTGAAGAGTCCTGCAAGCTGCAGAAGGCCATGCAAGCTGAAGCAGAGGAAGAGGATGAGGAGGATGAAGATGAGGATGAAGATGAAGATGAAGAAGAGGAAGAAGAAGAAGAGGAGGAGGAGGACGAAGAGGAGGAGGAAGAGGAGGAAGAAATGACTCCCGAAGTGATCTGTGAAGAAGCTCCTCACACTTCTCAGGACACGCAGAAAAGTCACTGTGAAGGGCAGTTCAGCCCTAAGCCCGAGTACTCTGTCATCGTGGAGGTCCGGTCGGATGATGACAAAGATGATGATGCCCACTCCCAGAAGTCAGCGGTGACTGACGAGTCAGAAATGTATGACATGATGACGAGGGGGAACCTGGGGCTTCTGGAACAAGCCATTGCGCTGAAGGCTGAGCAGGTGAAAATTGTGAGGGAGCCCAGCCGGCTGCCAGGAGAGCACGTAAAGCACTTCCAGGTCGATGAGAAGCAGAGCAAACCATTGGACAGCATCCGAAAGAGCTACTATGGCAAAGGTGGGGTATGGGGATGTGTCTCCATAACTGTTCTTCTTCCTATTGTCAAGGACAGACCTGCTCAGCTTCAGGATAAGTGGGCTGCTCACAACACATGCAGGGAATTTAGCCACAAATTCTCTATGCCCAGAGAAATTAGGACACAGATAGAGGGCAACAGTGAGACGTGCAAAATGACGGGGGGCTCCAAGTCTTAGCAGGGGAATCACGTGGTTAAATTGCCTACTGGCCTTGAAAATCTTAGTCTGAACCATAGGGTTGGTATAAAACCCAGATGGAGCAAGGGCAGGAGTCCAGCCACAGGCAGCGAGGGGTTGGCATGTGCTTGATGTGCAGCTGAGTACAGGCTAGTTGGGTGAGTGACTCCATATCCCAGCTCAGTAGATGCTCAAATTGCTTTTCCAGTTTGTCTCCAGTGTTACAGCTGCACTTTCAAATAAAGCCTCCAAACCCAAAGGTACCTCCTTCATCGACTGGAAGGGCGGTGGGAAGCATCCAGGACCATTTTTCAAATAAACGTTCCCAACCTTCCCACTTTTTCCCTTCCAAAACTGTTAACTTGCTTACCACCATGCTTTCTCTAAAACCCTTAGATCCCTCAAGACCTGAGAAGCGAGAAATCAAATGTCCAACACCTGGCTGTGATGGGACCGGCCATGTCACGGGGCTCTACCCTCACCACCGCAGCCTCTCTGGCTGTCCGCACAAAGACAGGATCCCCCCTGAGAGTAAGTACATGGTTGGGTGTCCAGTGGGATAACAGTTTGCTGGAATTAGACTGGAGCCTTATTTCTAAGGGGAGAATTTCACATCTGGTGGGTAGAGCCAACTGTAAGGCAATAGGCGTACCAAGTAGCCTGAAATGGTGTAAATGTCTTGGCTGAGACCCCAGCAGAAGTCTGAATTAATTTTTGGGGTGTAACTGAGTCTCTGGCATGGCATAGTGCTTTTTCAAATCGTTCTGGTATGCTTTTCCCCATCAAAGTGGTGATAATCTTAACAGGAAATGCTATGGTGATTACAGGAAAGTCAGACCCTTCTTAAAGATTTTAGCACCATCCTGTGGAGAATGAGGTCCCTTCTCTGAAAATCAAAGGTGCTCTAAAATCGACTGTTGCCCATCTCCAGAGACGTGCTGAACAGTTCCCATCTTTACACTGAATTTCTTGTGCTTTCCTCTATTTGGGTTATCACACTGGGGAGAAGGAGAAAGCACTCTTTCCTGGCATCCAAGCATGGTGGTGTTGCTCAGAATGTTGCTCAGAAGTGCTCAGAATGTGAAGGACAGCTGAGTTTCCTCTGCTCATTGCTGTAAAACTCACAAAGCACTGTACTGAGATTCTTCTCTTCTGCAGGAAGTATTTATCATCAACATAACAGATTTTTATGTACAGATACGTAGGGAGAGTTTATTTCAACCTCTCTACCAGCGTCCTAAATAGTTTTCCTTGTGCATAGGCATAAAAATAAATGTTTTATGTTTATGATAATGGTATAATAGGCCAAAATAATAGAAAAAGAAAGAAAAAAAAAAACGCCCTTCTTTATCAGTAATTTCAAATGTTGCAGACCTGCCATAAACAGAGAGCTGCAGGAAACAAGGAGGGAGCACAGCTATCTTCACACAAGCTCGTATGCAAGAAAAAATCTTAATAAATAAATAACACAAGATGTGTGCTTCAGAAAGGCTTGCAAATCAAATTATTTTCTTTACTTTTAAGGTCAGCACTGCAGAAAGCAATAATCCTGAAGATTAAAACGTTCAAAAATCAAACAGGGGCTAGTCCTCAGGATAAAAGCGGAGATACAGCTTCAATCACTTTAAAACTACCTGAAACTGGGAGACTTAGCTCCAAAAACAGCAGCAGGCAGTGGGGGCTGGCTGGGGGAACTGCACTGCAATCAGCAAACAGGGAGGCAGCCCCGGCTGTGTGCCCAGATGCTAATCTAGTGCTGACCTGAGCGATGCTGCCTTGTAAATCTACTTTTCTCCACACAGACAGATTCTAGTTGCAGGGTTTCACATTTCCTGATTTCTAGGAAGCCAACACTTGATGACTTGGATGGGTTTTTGTGTTGGTTTTTTTTTTTTTTTTTTTTTTTCTTCTCTCTGATTTTTATCATTTTTTGCCTCCCACTCCTTCTTGCCTTCCCTTGCTTGCTCCGAAGTCTTGGCGATGCACGAGAACGTGTTGAAATGCCCCACGCCAGGCTGCACAGGACAGGGTCACGTCAACAGCAACCGCAACACGCACAGGAGGTACCATCTTCCATTGCTGCACAGCCCCAGGGTCACCACGTTTATTCCTACATTACAGCTGTCACTTTTGGAGGTGCTGTAAGCGGAGTGAGTGAAGAAGGGATGATCCTAATGGATGAGATGGCTGTAACGGTCTTGTCCAATCTTAATGGTTCTGTGATAAGGCAAAGAATAATACAGGACAGCAGGATAGAGCAGTGATTTCAGGTTGGGTGTCAGGAAAACAATTGTTCTTAGAAAAAATAGCCAGGCATTGACATAGGCTGCCCAGGGAAGTGGTGGAGTTGCCGTCCCTGGGGGTGTTCAAAACGAGAGTAGATGTTGCATTGAGTGACATGGTTTAGTGGTATGGTGGTAATGAGTTGATGGTTGGGCTAGATGGTCTTAGAGGCCTTTCCAACCTTAATGATTCTATGACTGGGCAGTGGGGCAAAGCAATGTTGTGGGTGCAGGTAGAGGAGATGTGAAGCAGAGCGTGCCCACACCCAGTGATGTTTGTGCTTGGTGGTGTGGCAGTTTGAAGGCTTTCTGGGGATTTCCACAATATTTAGGCTGCCATTAGTCTGCAGTGCAGGTGATGTGGGAGTTTAGATGCTGCTGCTGTGGGACTTCAGCTCAGATGGGGTCAGGAGGGGACAGGTTGGGCACTTGATGTTTGGCTGCTTTGCTGCTGGCCAAGACTGATGGTAAATTAGGATAATACTAACACGGAAAACCTTAAAGGCAAATGTTTTTCTCATGGGTTCAGTGTAGCTCTGAGACTCTGGAGCAAGTGAAGATTTCCACGTACGTTCCTCACACTCTACTTTTTTTTTCTCTTTTTCTTTTAACTCACAGTTTATCTGGGTGCCCCATTGCTGCTGCTGAAAAATTAGCCAAATCACATGAAAAGCAACAAACCCAGTCTGGTGATCCTTCAAAGCCCAGCTCCAACTCTGACCGGATCCTCAGGTATGTGGGGTGGGAAGCAGAACTGCAGCAGCAGCCTGCTTGCTCCTGCTGTATCCTGATACTGCTGAGTCCTGTTATTATGATCATAAGTCTCGCCAAGGTGGGGAGATATTTAATTGATGATCCCAGGGAGGGCACTGAGGACAATGAATTGCTTCTGTAGCATCAATTAATGCTGAGGCTACAGGCCAAAGGGTTTTAGCAGTGCAGCAGAAGGCATTTGTGCCGATAGCACCGCAATGCAAACTGCAGGAGAATTATGGCTATTATATTAGCATTATAAGTAGGGTGGGCTCAAGGAGGGGGAGGAGGAGATTTAGGCTACATATAAATCACTCAGTCGTCATTTTGTGCAAGTCCATCCGCTTTCCTTCCTTAGCTATGCTCATTGCCAAAGCGCTCACATCTATTTTGTTATTTCGCCCATCTTTCTCTTCCTGGGAGAAAGGGCTGTCTTGCAGTAAGGATGTCCCTGATAGATTCCTGCTTTCGTAGCCGATGTGATTCATGAGGCTACAGATGGATTGTAATATGGTTAGTTATTTTGCAATGAGAGGAGGAGGAGAGGAACGGCAGCACTTCCACCGAGCCACCGAGGTGTGATTAATTTATTTATTTGCTCCCCAGGACTGCTGAACACCCCGGTGCACAGAGCTTGGTGCTTTGCAAAGGAAGGCCATTTAGGGTGATTACTTATTTATTTGCAGCAGAGCCCGCGATGGGCACAGCGTGCTCTGAGCGCGTCACGAGGATGCTCCATGCTCCAAGGAGCTCCCGCTCCGGGGACTCACTGGTGGAAAGAGGTCACGGGAAGGAGAATAACAATGGGCCATTTATATACAATTTATATGCAAGACAAATTGATTCATGATAGGCAACCCAGCAGAAGCAGGGCTTGAAGAGGGACTCTGCAGGCAAGGAGAGGTTTGGTCGGTGTGGCCATGCATTGAGCTCACCGCTGCTGCAGATCTGCAGCACAAACTGAATCCCTGCACCTGTGTGCTGTCCTTTGTCATGGCACCCATAGGAGAGTGGCACCTGAGTGTGATGCCACTGGAAAAGGACTGCCACGCTGCAGCAACCTGCAAGAGTATTTTGCATGAGATGGACACCTTAGCTTTTGGTGTAAAAAGAAGTTTAAAAGGGTGGGCAGGAAAAAAAAAAAAAACATGAAAAAAATGAAAAAGGAATCCAAGAGTCCCAAAGCAGGTGCAGACTTGCTGAGGGAGAACAAAAGTCATCGTCAACTCTTCTCTAACAGCCCTTGGGGACAAGGTGCAGCTGCATGTTCCCATCACATCAGTTCCCTCCCAGCAGCCCCTGCTGTGAGCTCCCAAGAAAAAGAAAAATCATTGGTGCTCGTTGTTTTGTCCTCAGGCCTATGTGCTTTGTGAAGCAGCTGGAGATCCCTCAGTACGGAAGTTACCGGCCCAACATGGTCCCAGCCACCCCCCGGGCCAACCTGGCCAAGGAGCTGGAGAAGTACTCCAAGGTCACCTTCGATTATGCAAGTTTTGATGCTCAGGTTTTTGGCAAACGCATGCTTGCCCCAAAGATTCAGACTAGCGAAACCTCACCTAAAGCCTTTAAATGTAAGTTGGGCACAGGGAAGGGCTGGGTTTTGTGTTCTCTTTCTTTCTTGGCATGCCACGTGCCATGGGCTGACGAGTGAATCACTTTGGGGAGGAAGGGCTGAGCCCGAATGGGAGGAGAAATGGGTCCCCCATGACATATCCCTTTGGTGGGGAGAGGGGCACATGGAGAGCTTGGTCTTGGGGAGAGCTTGGGGGTTGGATTTGGTGGTGTCTTGAGGTCCCTTCCAACCCCTGCAATTCTGAGATTCAGCTTTGAGAAGAATCATGTTGAGCAGTGGGAACATTAATCTGAGCCACGTCTGTAGGTGGGATAAGTTACACAGTTGTCTTCAGTCTGTCCCCACTGCTTTGCAGTTCATATCTATTGATCTGTCTTTTCTCATCTCGCTAAATGGATTATAGTTTTCCTCTCTTCCATCTTCTGTATGACCCATTCCACCCATTTGTCTTCCTGGCCGTGTTCTGCTCCCCGATCGATCACCTGCTCCTCACTGAGCTCACAGTGCTGCTCACAGTGCTGGGCAATGGGAGGGCAGGTGAAAATGCAATGATCAGATGAACCCTCTGAGCCTGGGGTTCCTAGGAGAAGGAGAGCAGCACCAAGAGCCAGACTGCCCCAGCCTGGTTCTGTCAGACCCGTGTTTAATTTCCCCTTTCCTCTGACTCCAAATGTGCTCCTGAAGGCATCTTCCCGGGGAAGAGAAAAAATAAAGATTTAGGAGCTCCGTTTGCAGAAGTCAGCAGCCTCCAGAGGGCTTTCTGTCTGGCTAATCCCACTTCCACAATCCTGTTTAATCCTGATGCAGCTGCTCTCTAAAAAGTGCTCGTGTACTTGAAAGCATCCCGGTTGTTGCACTACAATGGAAGCTGCCTTTATTACAGTACTAAATCTGTAAAGGATCAGACAATGAAATTGGATGGAGGCCAGAGAGCACAACTGCCACTGTCATCCTGGGTTAGGTCTGATGGAAAAGTAATTTGTTTCCCAGAGCAAGTGATTCTCTTGCTGAATAGATTGTGTTATTTGCAATATTAGCGAAGAATTTTCAGGGTAATTGTACTGACAAAAATAATTCCAGCAGACCCACTAGGATAATCCTTCCTATTTTTTCTCATCACTTATTTTACTAATTTGCTGATTGCGAGTCTATTAGCGGTAGAAATACTTACGAAATGGAAAAGCATCACTGAGCCTACGGTGTGAAATTGAAATTGGCATCTCCCAATCCTGGATACTGTGGGGTCGGGCTGGCAAACACCCGCGCCCCACTGTAAAGACACGGATTAAACAGGACTGAAAAACAAGCTGCCCTACACAAGAATAACCATTCGGGCAAGTTTCCAATGAGTTAATCAAAGCGACAAGATGAATATGATTGCCAATCATAGCGGGGGAGTCTGTTCCTTTCGCTGAGAACTTATTTTAAAGTGATCATCATCCAGAGGGATTTACACTCCCCTGCATGTGTGTGCATAACTCCCATTAATGTCAATACGCATTATGTACGCACACAATGAGGAAGGGAGCGCTCCTTGGCAGATCAGCTTTTTATCATGCCTTATATTCTGGGTTTGTGGTGACAATCGTGAAGTTGCTTTGCTCTGCCAAGCTCGTCCTGCAGCTTTGTCCCTGCTGGGATGAGCCATACAAGTCTTGTTGAAGGGGCTGCGTGTTTTCCCCTCAAAACATGCCCAGTGAAATTAATTAAGAATTTTAAAATGCTGCTGATTGAGTCAGAATATGGCCCTGTGATGGGTCGAAAGCAGACAATCCCATTTGCACCCACTGAAGCTGCTGACTTCTGCAAACTCCGGCTGGCTCACAGCCCTTCCAAATGGGCCCAGTTTCAAGATGAGGGCAAGTTTTAGCATGGATTAAACCTTAGGCAAATTTTAGTGTGGATTAGCCATCGAGTATGAATAGAGCACAGCACCTCCTGGATCGCACTGCTGTGTGCTGTGATATACAGCACTGGTGTGGTGTAGTGACCATGTGCAGAGGAGCAATAAATCCTGTTATTCAGACATATTTAAATGACAAATCAGCTGTCGCGAAATTCGTATTTCACTGCTGTCATCATCAGAAGCTCATATTTCATGGCCACGGTTTTGCTATGAATGTAATTTTTTATCCTAAAGTGTTCAAATGTGCTACAAGAAATCTGCTGCAAGTCATCTCTGTGGATAAGTTATGAACAGACGGAGAGCCAGGAAGCTTCTCTGAGCTTTCTCCTTTGACACCTTCCACCGAGGGGTAGCTTTAATGAAGAAAAGTGCTGAGTTCTGTGGGACTTGATGGCAGATCTACTTAATGAATTGACTTTTCCCACCGAGAACCTTCACACAGGATCCTGGCCACAGCCAGCACCTCCCTAGCAATTAAATAGCCCATGGATTGGTAATAAACGCAGTTTGCCACTGGAACTGCTGACATCTTCGCTTCATCAGTCTGACTTAACACCTTGCTTTGCCTGTGCCAGACCTACATTAGCTTTCTGTTGTTCCTTCTCTTTTTATTCCAGCCAAACCTTTTCCAAAGGCCTCTTCCCCCAGCCACAGCCCCTCCAGCAGTTACGTGAAGAGCACTTCATCTTCCTCCACAGGCTTTGACTACTCCCACGACGCTGAGGCTGCTCACATGGCTGCCACTGCCATCCTCAACCTCTCCACACGCTGTTGGGAAATGCCGGAGAATCTCAGCACCAAGCAGCAAGAGGCACCCAGCAAGGTGAGCAGGGTTGGGACTGGAAGCTTTAGATGGGAGAAATACCCTTTTTTTTTTTTTCTTTCTTCTTTTCCAACTCCCCCCCTTTCATTTTGACGTTTAAATAGAGAGGAAAGGAGGACATTATTGCATATTGCCCTTTCCCTTCCAATGTGCTTTGGGTGATGAGCTATTTGGAGGAGGTAACTGTGGCTCTTAGAATCACAAGGATTCTTTGATGTATTAGGATGTTCAGGAGATGCATTGTGGTTCAAATTATCCATCTAAGATGGGTTTCAGTTGCTCACTGCTCAGTGTCTGATGTCATTTTAGATTTCCCAGTTGCATCAGGGGAGCATGGGTTTTCCTGAGGTCCTGTGTCCCATGCTCAGCCTTGGGCAGATTTCTTTGATGCCATGGGACATCTTACATGGCTCTAGATGCCTGTGTTCAGGCAACTGAGACAAAATGCTTCGTTGCTTTTAGGAGAGGGGTGTGTCTGCATGGCACATTTCTGAAAATCTTTATGAAAGAGCATCCCTTCCCATTCAGTTCCTTCTAAGTGACTGCAGAAAAGACAGGCAATGAATAACTTGCTCCCTAGCTCCCCCGTGACAAATGGGGGCAAGATCCCCTTAGGGAATTTCTGGCAGCTGCTAACGTTGGGCACATTTCCAACTTTTCAGTCCATGGACATTGAGGTGGATGAAAATGGGACTCTGGATTTGAGTATGAACAAGAACCGCAAGCGGGAGAGCACATTTCCCAGCAGCAGCAGCTGCAGCAGTAGTCCCAGTGTGAAGTCCCCAGATGTGTCCCAGCGCCAAAACAGCACCAGTACCACGAGCAGCACCATGACCTCCCCCCAGTCCAGCCAGACCTCCCGCCAGGATGAATGGGATGGACCCATTGACTACACTAAACCAAACCGTCAGCGGGAAGAAGAGCCAGAAGAGGTGAGAGGTGGCTCTGGATGTTTAAGTTCCAAATCTCAGTGGAGGGATAAATTTCATATTTGTTTGGACTGTTGTCCTGTTTTTCCCAGCACCCCTACTTTGTCATTTAGTCTCTTGGCTGGGGTGCAGATGGAGGCAGGTCCTGCTGGGGATAAGTCTGAGTCCATCTGCAAGACCGTGGCAAAGCCAAGTGTAAGCCCTGTACAGATACGCTTTGAACATTTCTCCTACAAAAAAGGGAAATCACTGTCTGTTTGATCTCCAGATGATGACCAAGGTGCTTGCAGGCCTCAGGAGTGCTGGCAGTGCCGCCTTAACTCTGAGCTGGGGTGAACCTGGGGTCCTTTCCTACTGCAGCTCACAGCAACGGGCACCACTGCAACCACTTCTGGCTGTTCTCTTGCAGTCAGAGCCTGCAGCCCACTCTTTTGCCTCCTCGGAAGCTGATGAGCAAGAAGTGTCAGAGGAAAACTTTGAAGAACGAAAATATCCAGGGGAAGTTACCTTAACTAACTTCAAGCTTAAATTCCTCTCTAAGGACATCAAGAAAGAGCTGCTCACGTAAGCCCTGCCTTCTTGTCTCTTTTTCCTATGTTATAAAAGCACATCCTCAGTGACAGCCAGGCTGGTAGCAGACAAAATTTGTCAACAGATACACTGTAAGAATTAGAAGCATAGCTGCCTTTCTTGCTGTGATTGTTCTGATTTCATCTTAGGGTTTCAAATGAAAGCTTAAAGGGAAACCCTACTTTCATACAACTTCTGATCCTTGAGATGAAATCCACTCCTTACGGTCCTGAGACTCTGCAGTGCTGCAGGGCAGTTCCTACGGAGTTCTGTGCTCTCAGGATTCACAGCTACAGCTGTGCAAACTGCTTTGCAGGGCCCGTTCTCCATGGTATTTTCCTCTAGGAGCATTTCTGGCACAGTGGAGGAGCCTTTCCAAGGTCCCAACCTCTTGCTTTGGGACACCGAGTGATGCTGTGAAGCTAAAAGCATCCAAAGGAGCTCAGCACCTTCCCACTGTCCTTCCAGGTGCCTCGTTGGAAAGGCAGGGCTTGTTGGGTTAATGTAGAGCAGTGAGTCACATCACCGTGATACTGCAGGGCCGCAAAATGTGAACTCTGGCTACAGCAGGATTGCTGTCATGCTGCATTATACATTGGAGAGGTCTTATCTGAACTACTGTGTGTGTATTCATGGCTTTGGATGGGGAGAAAATAGGCCCAGGTCTTTATTAGATGACACGATGCTCTGCATCCCTGCTGATCCCCCACAGTCATGGTCCGTGTTTAGAGCTGCAGTGTGGATTTGTCCCTGCTGTCATGGCTGCTGGGATCAGTCTGGAGGCTGTGGAGCTGAGTTCTCCCCTCCCAGTGGATCTGCCGTGCCTGGGCCTCTTTCCTGCAGCCTGACCTTCCTATATGCTAAACAGGGGAGAGCTGGTGAGCCTCATTTTGCTGACCTTATACAATGCTGCTCATTACTTGGCTATGCGAGCAGGAGGCTGATGGAAGAGTGTGGCCAGGCAAGGAAGAGATCCACAGGGGCAAAGCAGTTGTTTCCCTAAATTAGCAAAGCACAAACCAGCTGTCCTATGCAAAACTCTCAAGGCTTTTTGGAAACTCAGCAATGATGTGAATAGCAATTCTTGAGGTAGAACCTTGAAGACCTGCAGTGCTTTTAGTTGTATTATGAAGGGCAAGAAATTTCTTCCCTGGAATAAATAAATGGTATCATGGCCAACCCTGAGCTGTCTCTCCTCATTTAGTACCATTGCTCCTCTCTGACCCGAGAGCTGTAACGAATGATCTGTAGCTAAGCCAGGAGCTACCTGTGTCTGATTGAAGCTCAGTGTCTTATGCCGTCCCTGGTGGGTTGTGAATGTGCCATCTCTCAGCCCTCCCATTGGCAAAGAGTGGGTACCAACAGCACTGAGAGCCCAAGTGTTTCAAACACTTTCTTCACATTTACCACATTTTTTTTCTATTAAAACTGTGAAGAATCATGAACTTCTGGGAGCAAAAAAGGGAAAGAGCTGGTGTATTTGCCTGTGAACAGGACCAAAGGCAAGGACATTCCAATGCAGATACCAAGGAGGGCTCGCATTCTGGGGTGAATTAATCCCTTTCCAGCACTTACATCTGTGTTGTTGTTGTTGCCCAGTTGCCCTACCCCAGGCTGTGATGGCAGTGGACACATCACGGGAAACTATGCCTCTCACCGCAGGTGGGTTCACCTTTTTCCGCAGTTCAAACTCTAAATACAACTTTAGTTTTTAGTATATTGTTTGACCATGTGGACAATTTGGTTCTGTTTCCTCCCCACGTTCTGTTACCCTTCTCCATCCCCACGCCCCTGCCCTTTTTCTTTTTCTTTTTTTCTTTTCTTTTCTTTTTTTTTTTTTTGGCTTATCCAGATATTCCATCTCTTCTCTTTCAGCCTTTCTGGTTGTCCTCTTGCTGACAAGAGCCTCAGAAACCTCATGGCTGCCCACTCTGCTGACCTCAAGTATGTTTGCGCTCAACTTGGAACTCCTTTTTTTGCTTTCCTCCCCTCTCCCTTATTTTTTTTTTTCTTCTCTATATACCTTCCCTGTTCCCACTTTGTGCTCTGCTTTTGCTATTTTATCCCCTCTTTTCTTCCTTCAAAACTGATCAGAGTCTGGCTGTGAGGAGCTCTGGTGGAGCCTAGCTGTCATATTGATTAGATGGTGGCATGTGGGAAGGGTTTTTTGGGGAGAAGGTATCACAGGGCAACTCAGAAATAACCCAGACCCCTGACAGGCTCTGTTGGATAAAAATAAGCTAATTTATTTTTCATTTGGTGTCTTTTGCCCAGCTCTCGTTCCCTAAATTTGTGCCATCATCCTTCCTATTATCATTTTTGTACGACTCTCAAATAATCTGAAGCCAGGGTAAAGGCACAACGCTTTAGTACTGGGTACAGACACAGGTGGGAAAATACTGCCAGGTCGTAGCAAAAAGAACCCTTTCAAAGAACAAGGTGTGCTAGTTTTGTGCTATGCTGTAAGGGCTGCTGGGGATCCGGTGGCAGAGATTTGCATTCATTGCCATGGGAGTACGATTGGCGGGGCAGTGGGACAAGCACACGGTGCTTGATGAGGCAGGATCCGGAGCAGATGTAAATGGGAAGAGCTGTGCACACGTCTGTTAATGGGTAGCAAAAGGCTCGTGGACACCTGAATGTCTTCGTTGCCAGTTCTGCTCTGGAAGGGAGCAATCCAGGCTTGGTGTTGACTTTCAGATGTGTTTCTCCTAATCCTGTTTTCAGCTTTATTTCCAATGCTCCTCGTTTTCAAGAGCTCCCCTGCTACCCAGGGGAATTTCCCAACTGCTCCCTTAGTTTGCCTTCCCTTAAGGAAGCTTTAATAGGAATTGTATTAAAAATCAATGGGGGGACCCGAGCCTTCTCCACCCAACCCACATCTCTGGGGGAAAAGTGAGTGTTTTTTCAGCATCCCTGCCACACACACAGCCTGTCTTTGTAGGCTAATTTTCCTCTTAGCTTCCTGCTTTGCTGAATCCAAATTTAGGATTATTTCAATGGTGAGATATTCATAACCATAATTGAGAAGAACTCTACTGAGAGCAAAAGCTCACGAGGGGCATAGACAAAATAAGTCCTGTGTCCTGTATTCAGTGGGTGACACTAAAATTAAATGATGTCCAGAATGACGCATCCCCCTGTGCCCTTGGGCATGTGATAGTAGTGTTTTGCTACCAAAGTACTGCATAAATCAGGCAACTCCTGGCCAAAACAAAGCTTTTCAGTGTTATTTTCCAATATTGTTCTCTTTCTTTATCCTGGTGAGGACGGAGGCACAGAGAAAGAGAAAGGGATTTGGAGATATTGCAGATATCACACTCAGAGCTTTTCCACAATTTCAGATAAGGCCACGTTCAGCATTTTTATTGTAAGTTGTATTCCAGGGGTTAATATCCCTGATTAAAAAAAAAAAACCAACAAAACAACAACAACAAAACCCCCCAAAAAGCTCCAGGCTGAAACAGGCAATAAGAGGTCTCTATCGGAATGATTTGTCTCCAGATAATTAAAAATAAAAATCAAATCACTTTTTTTTTTCCCCCCACCTTTTTAAAAAGTCCTGAAAGGCAAAAGGAGTTTGGTGTTGGTGTTTTCATCATTTCATCCCAGCCCGAAGCTAGAACAGCAAAGAATGATTTTGATTCCTTCTCTACTTTGTATATAACAGGGAAACGCTCTCCTCTCTGATTATCAGATGAGTTAGGGGACTTTTACCCTCACCCTGCTGCTTCTGCACCAGTCCTGAGTCTGAGCAGTCTCTCATAGCCCCTCGTGTTGTTGCCCGGATCAAGCATTGAGCACGTTACCTTTCACACACGCACTGGCCTTGCAGGCAGCTCTGCTGCCACCCCACTGCCCATCGGGTCTCTGATGCCCAGAGGCACTGAACATCTTCCAACCAGTGCTGCCAAGCCAGGCAGAGGCAGCCTTATAATTGAGGATCAAGAAAGTGAGGACACAAAACATCCCCCTGAGAACAAGGGGCCTTTGCAAACTCGAGGCAGCAGCTCAGCCTCCCCTGCCCCTCCATCTCCATGTGCTTGACTCGAGCAGCGCTGGCTAATTGGCAGCCTGGGACTGTGGCCCCAGCGAGGGCTCCTTGCTTCTCTTGCTGGTCCCCATGACAACTTTTATGCCTCACCTACAGCGTTTGGAGCAGGTCTTTGTGCTTGTGGCACTTCACAGCCCCTCACCTTCCTCGCTTCCGTGGCTGTAATGATGCAGTGCTCAGCTCACACTATTATCTTCGCTCCTGCTCCGCGGTGTGCAAGCTTTTGTGCTGGGCTGTGTGATCACAGAAGCGTTCTTCTAGGCTTGGCCTTCATTCATGTTGCTGAGCACTGGATGCTTACTTCCAAACCCATGATTGTGGATGCAGTGGATGGGAAGGGACCTGAGGTCCCCTTCAGAGTCCCCATCCCTAACCCACAGTGTCACAGTGAGGTTATGGTCGCCTTTTTTTCCTTTTTCCTTTTTTGCTTTCCAGCACTGATGAGTTTGGGGCTCTGAGTTCCCTTCTGGGGTGCCTTCAGTGAACTTTGCCTTCCCACATCACCCAAACCCAAAGTGACCCTGGGGAAGACGCCTATGTGGCCAGGCTATCCATGGTTGAAGGATATTTCGGGGGTATTTTGCCTATGCTCATATCCAGCCCAGTCTCACAGGATGGCATTGGTCATCTCCCTTCATCTTTCTTGAGAAGATAGGCATTGCCCTGGAGGCCTTTTCTTGCCTCCTTTATTATCATTGCTCTTCAAGGTGGGGACACATCCAGGATTCGCATCCCTCCCCACATCCTCATTCCTCCCCACTCTTCACCTCTGATGCCCAAACCCATCAGCACAGGGACAGCAGTGCTGTGGCCATTGCAGCACAGCTGCTGTTCCTGTGGAGGGAGAAGGGGCAGGGAGGAACCCTGCTTTGTTCTGTGGGTGACCCCCAGCTCACGGCAGCCTCCTTTCATCCACAGGTGCCCTACTCCTGGCTGTGACGGCTCTGGTCACATAACAGGAAATTATGCATCACACAGAAGGTAAGATCTTCTCTTAAATTATTTTCTCTTTCTTTATTTTTTTTTTTTCCCCTTTTTTAATTTCTTTCTGTCTTTTTCTTTTTCCTCCCCCTGCAGTGGGCAGAGTTGTAAAGTTCTGAATAAAACATTAATGTTACTGACAACTGAAGCCTATTTTCATCTCTTTAATCTGACTTTTTTCCTTTTTTTGATGTTTCCAGCCTCTGATTAGAAGCTCCCTTCAATAGAATAAAAGACAAAGGGTCAGATTTTAGCTGATGCAATGTTCCTGTTAATAACGCTACCTATTTATGACTTCTATTATCACTTTATAGCATTAATAGCGGAGATCTGAGCCTTCTGTTTCAACAATTCCATTAAACATTGCAGGCTGTTAGCAGATATCTTCTTATCTAGGCACCGTTAATTACTGTCCATCTCCTCAAATACACATATTTTTTTCTCCTGACTTCTCCTCGTGATGTGAAGCTGCAAAACGAGAGAGATCAAAACCGCGTGCGAAATTCGGGGGAAGCTGATGAGGTGGGGGCCCTGCCAGTCAGACAGCCCTTTCTTCTCTTTTCAAACACAGTCTGTCAGGCTGCCCTCGTGCCAAGAAAAGCGGGATCAAGATAACCCCGACCAAGGATGACAAAGAGGACCCGGAGCTGATGAAGTAAGTGCGGACAAAGAGAAAATCAGCGGTGTTGCAAATGAGGGTAAAAAACCCACAGTTGGGTGAAATGCTGGAGGCTTTCAGGGTGGCAGTGGGCACATGAGGGGTGCTGGCATGGGTAGGGTCAGGGCTTGGTTGCCCCACATAAAATGTGCTTCGTACAGCCTTGGCTACTGCTGAATATTCCGAGCTGGAGAAAGGAGCTTTGAGAAGCGGATGATATTTGAGCCATCTGCTCTGTTCTCGCTCCTCTGTCTCCAGGAAGGAAAGCTTCCGAGCTAAATGAACTGTGTGATAATTAGCAGGAGTTAGCGGAGTTTATTAAAAATTAAGCGACCTACTTGAGAATCTGCACGAAAAAAAAAAAAAACCTTTTGGACTCACATAGTCCTGAATTGCTGGTGGTGTTGCGATGCCATTTTGTGACACAGTAAAGGAAAGAAAAAGCAGTGAGTGCAGCTGTGCAACTGTTGGCTGTTGGGCTTTTTTTTTTCAACTGATGGTTGAGGGTGCACCAAGCAGCTCCTCCTGCTTTGCAAGTGATCACTTCTCAGTGCAAAGGAGCTTGCAAAGGAGCTCTTACACGATTTGCTTGCTACAGCGCAGCTGATGCTTGCACAAGAATGCTTCCCACAAAACCGATGTTCTTCCCAGTGCTTGGGGCTGTGCTCGATGCTTGAAAGCTAACAACAGGAAGGAATGTGCTGGAGCATCATTAGGGATGGGATTTTTGGATCTCAGAACAACCCGAATGGCCTCACTGTGGTTCTGCTCCTCTGCTTGCAGAGGAATTCACAAGGACTGAACGTCCTGATGTGCTGCAGAACAAGCAGCAGCCCATGGTCCTCTGCTAGTCCCAGAATGAGCAGCAGCTCCTCTGAGATGTGCAGAACAACTCAGATTCCTTTGCTGCCCATCAGTTTATAGCAGGCTGGTGCTTTGTCTCCAGCAGCAAGGTGTGCACTGCGCACATCCATGCAAGGATGCATTGAGGAGCTTTGCCTCCAAATCCATTCCTCTGCTCCGAGTGGCGCTTGAAGCCCATCTGAGTTTTGCACAGTGCCACCAAGGAGAATGTCATTCAGTCCCCATTGTTTTGCTGCTCATCCTTCCAGTAATTTGCTATAGATGTGGTAGAACAGAGCACCTCAACCTTCAGCCCAGCCCTGGCACCAAGTGGAGGCATCCGCACTTCCCTAATTGATCAAGTGCTGCTGCTGCTTCTGTTAAATAATAATAATAAAAGTAAAATTTTTTTAAAAATGTCCAAGCCAGCTGTTTTGCACAATAAGGCTCTGGTTTATTTTTTAACAATGAAAGTGTAATGAAAGTTAAATTAACAGTGTAAAATATGGAACGGTCAGGCCATAATGGCTACATGCTAAATGCTGGGGTTTGTTTCCCTCTCTCTCTCTCTCTCTCTTATTTTTTCCTCTCCTTTTCCTCCTGAGGATTCAGTAATTTGCTCGTGATCATATAAAAGCAATGATGTTATGAATTTACTGAGGATCCTGCTGGCAGGGATATTATAAGTGAATTGTGCTGCATTTGCAGCTGATTAAAATCGAGATCAGCATTTTTCAAATTATCTTGGGAAAATAATGGGTGTGCGGCTCCCCCTTCTGCTGTCAGCTCCTTTTTGCACGAAATATAAACAGTGAAAGGAATCACTGCTGTGGTGAAACAGAGCTTGTGATTTCCAGGAGCGCTCAATGGATATTTTGCTGGGGTAAATCGAAGTCTCTAATTGCTTTCAAGCTGAGGACAAGGGGTTATTTTTTCCATTTCTTACCTTTTTATAGGGTAACCTCCCTCGAGTAATAAACTTTTAAGTGTATTTATAATTGACTAGCATCTTTAAACAAGTGCAAGACACAGCAGAAACCGTAATAGACAGTCAAGACTCTGCTGAATGGCCGAATTCACTCCGCGTGCCATTAAGTGGGGAGTTAGCAAGTGAGCTGTGCCAATTAATACTGCTCGTGTCAGCGCTGCCCCAACACCTCCAGCACCATTTTCCTGGCCTCAATTGGCACTGGGTGCATGGGACGGGCAGCAATTCCTGCTGCTGCCCAACCAGGAGCACGTGGTTTGCTGCCAATGTGTTTGGTGTGAGGGGATCATCCTTGGGGTGCTGCCGGGATCCCCAAAACAACAGTTATTTACTATCTGTCTTAAGGTGTGGAGACATCATAGCAGCTGCTTTTTGGGTGTTTTTCTGTGAGTGTGGCAGTGGTGTGATGCCCGCTGGTTGTCTTTGGTTCTTTTTAGGGGAATGGCGTAGCTCCTAATTTCCCATCTGCTTCCCATATCCATTGCTGCAAAAACAGCACTTCTATTCCCTGAGGGCCTTTTTCCATTACATATTTGTTGGAAGTAACTAAATATCTCTATCCCTGCCTGCTGGTTTTTGACTTGAAAGCACCTCTCCTTGTGCACCATGCAGCTCCTACCCCACAGCACCAGTGGGTGTGGGGTGGCACTGAGCAGCTCAGCCCAGAGTGCTGAGCCCCAGCTGTGACAGAGCTCATCGCCATTGTTTCATTGCCATTCCTAATCTCTAGCCACAAGAATAACATAGAGACTAATGAGTCCCACAGACTCTTAAAACTTGTGTGAAGAGATGTCCCAGCTGATGCAAAGTGGTGTGACCTCCATCGGTGAAACATCCACCAAACAAAGTCATAGAACCATTAAGGATGGAAGGTATCTAAGATTCCTAAGGTCAACATCAGCCCACCCCACCCTGCCCACTGACCACGTCCCTCAGTGCCACATCTCCACAATTCTTGAACATCTCTGGGGACAGTGAGTGGAGCTGATGCCACTGAGCACCGGGAGCTGCTGGTCTGCAGAAATGCTGTTTGCAAAGAGCGGGAGGCAGCGTGAGGGGTGCGAAGGTGTCACAAATCACACCTCTGAATTCCCCAGGAGCAGCGGGGAAGGGGAGCAGGGCTGAGCATCGCAGCAGTGCTGTGGGGCTGGGAAGGGGCGGGAGCCTGAGTGGGATGTGTTCACTTCCACTCCTGAAATATGGGCACAGAGCCCTGGAGCTCCGCTGCGCCCATGTGTGCTGAAAGATGGGGAAGGATGGCATTGCCCCCAGTGTGAGAGGCTGCATTCCCATCCGTATCGTCCATATCGTGTTGAGGGACATGGTTTAGTGGGAGCTATTGGGAATAGGTGAACGGTTGGACTGGATGATCTTTTAGGTCTTTTCCAACCTTGGTGATTCTATGATTCTATGACAGTGACCCCAACGCCTCCCTGGGCAGTTTGTGCCAAAGTTTGTGCCATCGCTGTTCTTCCAGAGAAAAAACATTTCCGAATACACGGTCTGAACCTCCTCTGGTGCGACATGAAGCCATCACCTCTCACCTCTCATCCTGTTGCTGTTACCTGGTCACAGAGGCTGACCCCCACCTCACTGCAACCTGCATTCAGGGAGCTGTAGAGAGCAATACATTCTCCCCTGAGCATCCTTTTTTCCAGACTGAAGTCTGGGTGGCATCCCCAAGTATGAACACTTGCTTTCCTGCTTTCCTCTTTCCTGCTCATCCCTAATATCACTCCATCCCTTTTCACACCTCTCCTATAATTTCTTGTATTCCTTGTGCTCAGGTGTCCGGTTCCTGGCTGCGTTGGTCTTGGGCACATCAGTGGTAAATATGCCTCCCACCGCAGTGCATCGGGCTGCCCCCTGGCTGCCCGAAGGCAGAAGGAAGGATCCCTCAATGGCTCCACGTTTTCCTGGAAATCGCTGAAAAACGAAGGCCCAACCTGCCCTACCCCAGGCTGTGATGGATCCGGCCATGCCAATGGGAGCTTCCTCACTCATAGGAGGTAAATAATTACAGGATCATTAAGGGTTGGGAAAGACCTTCAAGATCACCAAGCCCAACCATTGACCCATCACCAACATACCTTCTATGTCCCTCAGTGCCACTTCTTCACTGTGCTTGAACACCTTCAGGGGATGGTGACCCCACCACCTCCCTGGGCAGCCTGTGCCAGCGCATCACCGCTCTTTCAGAGAAGTTTTTCCTAATATTCAACCTTGGGATCACCCTAAGTGTGGCAGTTTTGGAGTAAATGTACTCTGAGCATCATTCCACTCTCGATGAAAGCTGGGTAACTGGTGCTTTTAATGCTGCCCTCAGTCAGGTTGCTCTAAGGGCTGTATTTTCTGCATGGGATGAAAACACTTAGATGTTTTAACTTTGAAGTAGTGAAATATGAATTGGACAAAATCATGAAAAGCAGTAATGTAGTGTCCTTCCATTAGCACGCCGGAGCAGTTCTTCAACAGCCAAAATGGGAGTTTGATGCCCAATCCATCCAGACTCATTTCACCTTCCTCACCTGTCATGCCCTCTCTTTTAGAAAATAACACTTTTTCTTTTTTAATCTTTGCTCAGAGAAAATTGCTCTTGCTTTATAAATGAGGACCTTTGTGGCATTATTCATAAAGCAATTTCCTCTGCACCATAAAAAGCTTTTAGAAGAACTATCTCACAGCATGAACTCCACCAAATGGTACACGCTCTTGTTGGGAACATAAGCACCTATAAATACAGAGAGTTTATGAAACCCATTTTTACTTGTTTTTCAGTTTGTCAGGGTGCCCAAGAGCTACTTTTGCTGGGAAGAAAGGAAAACTCTCAGGGGATGAAATTCTCAACACAAAGTTCAAGACCAGTGATGGTAAGGATTTTCACTCATTTTATTTGGCACTTGTGTTGGGGTATTGAGCCCACTGGCATCTCTTTGTAGACTGAAATCTTTGGATCTACTAGCAAATTCTGTGTTACAAGCACCCATTTTTTTTGATTGCCTGGGTACTGAAATAGTGAAATGGCGCTGAAATTTGAGTATTGGTTTTATTATTTTTTTTTGTCCCCTCAAATATTCTCTGGCATTTTCACAAATCCCTTTCAGACATTCAGTTATTTTCATCTATTCAAGACTTCTAATCCCAAAGATATTTCTGGATCTGGAGCTGTGTTAGCGATGGCACTTTGCATTTCTAGTGCTATCACTGAGAGATTTTGGTATTAGATAAGGTTCACGCATTTTACCTGAATACTTACATAATTTGGAAGATATAAATACCTGTGCTTTTCTAGAAACGTTCCCTTATTTTATTAGCACTGTAGCTTCTAATGGAGATATGCTTTTATTTTTTTTATGATGTCTTCCCTACTTGAGAGCAAACAGAGCAAACTTGAGTTATTAGGGTGGCCAACTTTGCAGGGCACATGAATGCTCTGGGCTCCAACTGCAGGACTCTTGTTCACTTTTGCATTTACAAATTGACCTACAAAGTATAACTATAGTTAATTTTTTAAAACAACAACAACAAAACATTAAAAAGAGAGCAAGATGTGCATTCTGTATTGAGGATGTGAAAGCAAAGGTGAGGACTTGGTGAGCTGCCATGCTTAGCCAAAACCAGAGGCTGACCGCCTGTCACTTTCCCTTCCACAGTTCTAGAGAACGATGAGGAGATCAAGCAGCTGAACAAGGAGATCAGCGAGCTGAACGAGTCCAACTCGGAGATGGAAGCAGCCATGGTGAAGCTCCAGTCGCAGGTTTGTGCCTTTGAGCACGTGCCCAAGCTCCCAGCAGAGTGCTGACGGGTTTGTAACCCCACGTGTTCTTTGCTCTGCAGATCTCCAGCATGGAGAAGAACCTGAAGAACATTGAGGAGGAAAACAAGATCATCGAGGAGCAAAACGAAGCCCTGTTCCTGGAGCTCTCAGGGTTGAGCCAGGCTCTAATCCAAAGTCTTGCCAATATCCGCCTTCCGCACATGGTAAGAAACTTGGGCAGTGCTCAGCCCCAGTTGGTGCCATCAGGGGAGCCATGCAAGATCTGGCTTATGATAAGGCTCACACACAATTAAAGAGCAGCAGAATTTCTCTATACACACCTACCTGTGCTTTATAAAATCCGTGCTTTTGCCTTATCTCGAAGCTTGCATTGTTATCTCCCTTTTGTTGTCGTTTTCTGCTGATCTCCCTTTGTATCTATGATTCTGTCTCATTACATCTGGGAGTAATATCACAAAATAGGAAACTTTATCAAGGGCACCCAGAGCCTTTTAGGCTAAGACAGCACAAGCAGAGATCAGGAGGGACTGGATTTCAACGTCAGAAAGATCTTACAGCTCCCATTATTATGCAGGTAGTTTCGATTCAGTTTTGAATAGCTGGCAGCCAAAGAATAGCATTCTTAAAGAGAGTGTATTTTGTTTAATTTAACAAGGTCTAACAGCCCACAGCATGTTACCATAGAGTTACTGCAAAATGAAAAGGCTGCATTAAAATAGTAAAACCACAAAAGGGTATTAATTACCTTCCCTCTATTCCCAGGAATGTAATTACTGTTGTCAAAAACAGGTGTGTGCAGGGGGGCTGCGTGCTGGTTTGGAAGCTGTCCTCTTACAAGTAATAGCGGCCATCACGATGATCAAGAGGAACAAGCTTTTGATTTCTTTTTTTTCTGCTGTCATTTTTTTTTTTTTTTTTGGGAATCCTTTTCATAGAGGTTGGTATTTAAATTCAGGCTGCTTGGAGATGTGCCATGCTCCAGCAGAGCAGTTTTGGACACTATTCACCCAGCTGCTTGACTGGCACAAAACGGCTCACTGAGTGCTTTTATTTTTTGTAAAGTATTTGACGCGTAAAGGTCAAAAAAATTGTTCAGCAAATATTTTTTCAAGGTTTCAGGCATTTCAGGATTAAATAAGGCCCATGAGACACGTATGCTCATTTTTATCCTGGTCTTTTTCTTCTTCCTCGTTTCCTTTTTCCCTGCTAACTCTGAGACAGATGTTTGCTAGGTTTCAATGATGCCCCTCTAAAGCAGAGTGCAGACATTGAGCCTGAGGTGCTGGCTCTTGCCCTACCCTCGCCTTTCATTTCCCCCATGATGCTCCAGCACTCCCTGCCACCTCTTGTCCTCTAACTTTTCATTTCCACGCCTCAGTCCACCCTCCAGTCAAACTGCCTGCACACACTTAACCTGATGCTGTTGATAGTTCCGCGTGGCCAATGCATAAAATCAAGCAGCCAGTGAAGATTCTGCTGGATGAAGGTTGCACGGTGAGATTCTTTATGTGCAACACCATGCACAAAGAACCTCTGATGTTGAGACCTTCGGCTGTTGGCACAGTTAGTTGGAAAGAAACACCTCAGAGAGCGGTGAGGCACTGGCACAGGCTGCACAGAAAAGCTGTGGATGCCCCATCCCTGGAGGTGTTCAAGGCCAGGCTGGATGGAGAGCTGGGCAGCCTGATCTGGTGGAAGGCAACCTGCCCACAGCAGGGTGTTGGAAGTAGATGATCTTTAAGGTCCCTTCCAACCAAAGCCATCCTATGATTCTCTCCCTGCTCTACTACTAACTCTTCTGTTTGGCTTTTCTGACTGCAGGAGCCCATTAGTGAGCAGAACTTCGATGCGTACGTGAACACACTGACTGACATGTACACCAACCAGGAGTGCTACCAGAACCCAGAGAACAAGGACCTGCTGGAGAGCATCAAGCAAGCCGTCAAGGGCATCCAAGTTTAGTGCTCTGCGATGGGGATGGGTGGGCGAGCTGACTGTAAGGTGGAACTTTCCCTCCAAGTATTCAGGTTTACAAGTTATAAAACTTGTTTAATGAATGAAAAACAAAAAGCAAAGCAAAACAAAACAAAACAAAAAAAAACAAAAACCAACAAACACACAAGGACCAAAATGTAACCAAGAGGCCATTTCTGAGACGTGGAACTGATCGAACTCAGTGTTCTCGTTTACTTAACTTTGGACCTTCTTGAGAAAAGTGGGATTTTTCTACCTGGATCATGAGGTAGACCAGGATGGAAGGTCAAATTCTCCATGGGCTGTGGGGCTTGGCAGCTGGTGAAAGAGCAGGCGTCTCTCCTGAGTTGCCATGCTTTTGCAGACTTGCTCCAAGGGTTAAAATGTTACAAGAACAGGGTTTTGTCTGATCCAAGACTAGCGTATGACTGGCTTAAACCCTCATGTTGTCTATGGTCGTATGTCCAGATTACCTACTCACCCATGAATTATGTTATATGTTGCTATAAGTGCTGGAGCTGCAAGCTACCTGTAAATCTGAACCTGTGCTGGGCCTCCCAACCCCAGGTTTTCAGATATCCACTGGGCATGGGAACTCTTTAAGTATTATAAAGTAGCTTATTTTTATTTTCTGAAAGAAATCTGAAGAGCAGTTCTGGATCTCCAGTGGAAAGCGCAATGGAAAAAAGGTTCTCAGGGAAGCTTTTGGAGTTTGCAACTACAGTATTCCTTTGTCTGTCTTAAATATGAGAATAGCTATTATGAATAGGCCAATACCAGATATTTCATACAGAAGAATTCTTAATGTGTCATGGTCCGGTGTTTATGATTTTTTGGAAGTCTGTTTGATGACGGTTCTGGTTCTTTTCATTATTGTGATCATCCTTACAGTGGCGCAGTACTGCCAGTCCAGAGATCATACATCAATGCCAGAGAACGTTTGAGATTGCGATGAACTAAAAAAAAAAGAAGCAAACAAACAAACAAAAAAACCAACAGAAAGAGATGCTAATTGATGGCCAGCAAAGTGCTTACCTAACATGAATCAGTGGTTGATTTCTTGCAGATATCCACAGGGTGATGGGTTTTTCTTGGTTTGGTGTTCTACGTTTTGTGCAAAATCACAGCACAAGCACCATTCTGGAGGAAAAAAAAAAAAGAAAAAAGTGTTCAGGTATTGGATATTCTTCCAAAGAAGCGTTCTGCAAGCTTGGTACACGCAAACCTCCTGGTGGAGTGAAGGCGACCCAAGGAAATGAAGGGCAGCAACTCCTTTGGGGTCTCAACGTAGGTGTGTTCGCTTCCTGCATGGCTCCTGGCAGCAGTGGGGAGGATTTGGGTGGCCGATGCTAAAGGGAAAGATGTGGTGTCATTTTGAGCCCAATTCTGCAGATATTTAGGGTGTAATCCGTGATTTGAAGAGGTCAGTGGGGAGCTTCCCACCGACTACAGCAGGCATTGCACCGGGAGCAGCGTGGCGCGGGTTGGTTCCTGCTGGGAAGTGCCATGCTGAGCCATTTGCAGGATCAGGCTCCATGAGTTCACCCATTTTAGAACCCATTCCAAGTGCAAAAATACGAAAGAAAGGGAAAAATAAATAAAAAAAAAAATAATAATTTGAGGTGTTAAAAACACAATGTTCTTAAGATGTAAATAGAGTCCAAATTGATTGTGACTGCAATTCACTTAGTATTTAAAAGTAGAGAAATTGCACTTCCTGGAAGAAAGAGAGGGGGGAAAAAAAAAAAAAAAAAAAAAAAGTAGTTAGTTTAATTATCCTGTAAATTATTTAATTTTGGCAAGATGTATGTAATTTATATTTACAACACCTTATGTTAACTTTTTTATTTATTTAACTTTTTTATTTATTAATTTTATACTTACTTTAAACTGGACACCGCACCATTGAAAAAAAAAAAAAACAACCACGAAGATAAAAGAAGCAAAAATTAAAACTTTTGAGCATAAAAAAGGACATTCCCCAAAAAATTAAAAAAAAAAAAAAGAAGAAAAAAAAAGAAGAGAGAGAGAAACTTCTATCTACGACTCCTACTTGTAATTTTGATGCAACCAAGTTATTTTTTATATATTTTGTTATTTATTCTTTTAACGATGGGAATTTTTTTAAAGATATTTTATAACTGAGACCTTTTGATAATTTTTTGGTTTGTTTTTTTGCCGGGGATGGGGCACCAGGGGAAGAGAGACTTTGTCAGTTTTTCTTTTCTTTTTCGGTCGTATCGTTTCAGGCACTGATAACAGGAAATGAGAATTCTGTATTTATTATTTATTTAATATTTAAGTGGGGGGGGGGGTGAGAAAAATGAACTGTGCTCTTGTTGTATATTTATTTTGTTGTTTGTGTGTCGGTTACGTGATGACTGAGTACTTGTTTATGTGAAGGAATACTGTTAATATTTAAATAATAAAGAGTCAATTGAAAGTTATAGCAGGCTACATGTTATTCTGTGAAAACGAATACTGTGATCTACTTTCCTCAGGAAATGCATTTTGCAGACAGAACTTCCTTATGTACTGGCAGGGTTGTTTCATAATAAAACCCAGTTCTGTTTGTGACTTTAGTTCCTATGGTCTTTCTTTGAGCCGCTGCCAATGTCCCCAACATGTCCCCCCATGGAGCTATGGTGCTAAGCAAGGAGCTGCCATTGGCAGGGCAGCACGCACGCTTTCACCTTCTGGATTTACTAAACAAATTACAAATGTTAATCTTGGAGATTTAGCTGGGAAAGATGCTGGGAATTGGTTCTTCCTCTGACTGGGTTTAGTGGGCATGTTGAGGATGGGTTGGCGATTGGACTTGGTGGTCTTAGAGGTCTTTTCCAACCTTAACGATTCCCTCACGTCTGTTTTCCTGGCTGCAACGCTCTCAGGTTGTCCTGCTCAAATTGCAGAGCTTCTTCACGGCAGGAAGTTTTCTTCTGCAGCTGTAGCAATGGAGGGAATTCATCACCGCTCGCTTTGCTGGAGATGGCATTCTGAAGCCACCACAGTTTTGGTTTAGCTTTGCTAGAACTGGAGCTTCCAAGGTGAAATAAGGTAACTCACACGAAGGCCGCTTGGAGCTGAGGGAGATGGGTTAAACGGGAATTTTACGTAGATCTATCATTGAGAAATTAATTTCTCTTATTAACGGGGCTGAAACTTCCTGGTGTCCCTGGGGGAGGCACAAGTGCTGCAGATCATGGGGGAGGAGGTAGCCTTGCTGCCATGGCACAGAAATGAAAACATGGAGTAAAATGGGGGCAGAAGGGTGAGACTGCAGCCAGAAACCCTCAGAGCGAACTTCTGGGGTCAAAGAGGATTCTTGAAAGTCTTTCCTTTGACACACACACAGCCACGGGTGTTCACTGGCAGTTTTTTTTCTCTCTGTCGAGCATCTGTAAGCTGCAAGCTCTGGAGGGCCCTTTCTAGGGCTGAATGACTGGCAGAGCTTAGGATAGGCTCATGGGGATGGTGGAGGAGAGGACGTGCCCTCTGGAGCTGCAGGGATGCTTCTGCTTCATGCGGGTGGATTTGTAGGGTGGCGGAGGAGAGGATGTCCTTCCTGGAGCTTTGCAGGGCGTGGGACAGAGCTCGTAGGTTAACAGCAATTAACTCTGCAAGGTGCAATAGAGCATGTTTCCCAAGGGCAAGGTCTCTTTGAGGTTTTGCTGGACACCTCGTGTAGCTTATGGGATCCAATCCCCTTCACAAATGGCTGCATATCTTAAATGGGGGAAGCACGCAGACTCGTGAGATGGTTCATCCAAACTGACTGGCATAGTTTATTTCTGAAGGGCGCATCATTGGGGGGGAGGGGGAGGTTGATAGACTTTGCATCACCGAACAGTTCATTGTGCCAATATTTGATTATGATGATAGAGCTAACAGGCATGCTTACTTGTCCTTTCCTAACGAATTGGCTGTGCTGCATAATAGAGCGGTTAGATTCATGTTAAATTGCAGCTTTGGGAGCCATCACTGTGAGATGTTATCTTCTCTGAACTGGCGTCCTTTATTGCAGGGAAGGGAATTGAATGGGTTTAAGATGGTACACTGTAAGTTTATAGGTGTGCTTAGGAGAGCTCTTCAGCCTCCTCCAGCAAGTGGAGAGTGAGAGCTGGGCGGCAGAGAAGAGCAAGGATTTCACTTCAAGGATGCAAGAGGAAAGATACTTGTGTTTGGTTATTTCTATAAATCATTGGTTGTTGTATAAATCATTGATCAATGTGCGTGTCATTTGGCCTTGCCGGACACCACTGTTTATTGTTAAAAGCTGCTAATGACATATCCCTCCATCCTTCTGCTCAAGTGGTGCCTTCCATTTGCCAGCGTTCACTCAGCTGCTCCTGGAGAGCCACGGGCTGCAATGAGGGTTTGCAGGTGGGAGCAGAGAGGAGTTTCTTTGCCAGCCTTGTTCTTTCTTTCTGATTGTCTTCCTTCTTCTCATAGAGCTCCTCTGGTGATGTCTCAGGGCTGGGTCACTCTCGCTGTAGGGATACCTCCTTCTCCATTTGGTTCTCTACTGGGGGCAGAAAGCAACCATGCTCTATAGAGTTGCCATTTGGCACTGAATTCACTCCTCAGCTCTAGAAGATGGAGGTGAGATGAGATCAGGGAGAAACTCAGTGTGCTGGGGAGGCAGTAGGAAGGGCTCTGCCCTGCACTTGTTAATGTACTTGCTTCTCCAACACTTTTATGAGAAGATATATCCTGAAACGACCTTCCACTTTGTGCAGAAGGGCTCGTGGGACCAGGGCTGTGTTCTTCAGACAAATAGCTCTCGTTATTCCAGGTGCCTTCATCCCCTTCTTTCAATGGGATGAATAAATCTCCAATTGTTGTAAAAATGGTAGTATCAGATTTAAAGACGTTTTCATCCCTGTCGACCAGGAAGTACAACAACCATTAAAGTCTGCATTCATTTATATAACTGCAGCACTCTTTTGTTTGAATGTCAGTGGTAATCTGGGATGCTCTGCAGAACA